TTGGGTATCGCTCAAACCTCCTCGTCGTGTGCAGACCGATGCGCATCGCAGTGAAGGATATACCAGGTGGACTAGCATGGTGGACCCTGCGCCGCCATCGACGCGGCACACCCACCGACTGCCTAACAACTCACCGCAGGTCTAGCCTAGCCGTTTACCTTGAAGAGCGTTAGCGTTGAAGTGGGCAACACCGATGAGATTGAAAATATGAGATTGAAATTCAATGCAGAAACCAACGGGCAAGGAAGGGGTCCCATTTCTTGGGTTCTCGGCCCTTCTCATAGTTTTTTTTCATACCGGCACACTAACCACCTTTACCTTGTTTCTAGTGGGCTGAATTCTAATCGTAAATTCCACCTTTGAAGCGTCGCTTACCGAACCAAATCTTATTAACCTTCAACGGCTTTTCGAAACTCAGAAGAAATTTGACTAATGTTCCAAATAGAAAGAGAAGGTCGTAACCAGTGGGTTAGAATCGAGTTGGTGTGATATTTTGCCCGGAACTTGGACAAGAAATCGATTAGGAACCTTACTGGGGAGAAAAAGGAAAAATCCATAAAACAGTCAGGTTTCCCTTGTGAGGTCGCGGCATAACGGAGAGATACAGCGCTGCAAGGAGAAAGAAAACACAAAAGTGCACGTCGTACACGAGAGGACGCAAATGCCGCGAACGACGCAATTGATAAATACTGCATTGTTGGCAGCGTGCAAGGCATGGTCTTGGCGAGCTTACCGCGCACTTTTCAGTAGGAACGGGGTCACGACCCCTGTTGCGCGAGAGTCAATTCCACTGAGCGAAGGACTAGGTCCAGGCATCTGATCCCGACGCGCTTGAAAGCTTTGAAATAAGCTTATAGTGGCAAGCCCTAGAAGAGACCAGAGAGTGCACTGACAGTAGACTATTTACAGAAAGAAACGCATCTGAAACAACCTCGCTTTTTGTGAGCTCCAAGAATAGTCCTCAACATCTTCTCTACTAAGGTTTTATAGTAACAAATGTTGCAGAAGCTTGAGTGGCCTCACGCAATTTCTTTTGCTCAAAGACACTCAATTATCGTTGAGCGTTAAGTGCGAGCGTTCTGCTCCACGGCCTCAATGAGACGCACTGTTCCACGTCCCTAATGAAGCCGCAGAGTCGGCGGGCGAGTAGCAGCGCAAGCGGAGTGCGTATGGCCCTGCTAATACGCTGTGGCATACCCTTCGCTGCAAAACGCGCATCGCCACGCATCTCCAGAAGGCCCATTGCCTTTCGAACTAAAGATGTACTCCCCTTTCTTCTGCTTCGGACCTTAAAAGAGAATTCGCTTCAATATTAGCTAAACAGCTAGTCATATTGCGCAAACTGTGCACAAATCTCTTACGTCTATCACTTTTTTCAATGACAGAAATGGCAGAAAACCGCGAAGATCTGAAAGAAAATGGGTATGAAACGTACGTAATGCTATCACTGACTACTCCTCCTGCCAGTTTCACAACAAGGTGACTGAATGCTGCAATGGAGACGAGTAGACCTAAAAACAAGAAAGCGAAAAAGTGTATCAACGTTTGAACGAGTTGCACACCAACATACTGAAACAATGGGTAAGGCGCACTATTGAGCTAGTGCCAAGCATTGAGGTGTTCGTTTTAATGAGTAAACGTTTATCAAATCATTACGTACCTGTGGAGGAAACGTCGAATCCTAAAGCAGAGTTGAAATATGTTGGAGCGTATACGTAGAGCATGGTTATGCTCACCAGTTCCACAAATGCGTTAAACCATATTACCAAGACGACTTCGTTAGTGATGATTTGCTGGAGACAAAAATTCGCACATTTTAGAGAACTCAGGAAATGAAGAACTTGTAGAAGCAATAGGTTTGAGATCAGAAAAGCAAAAGGATGAAAAAATTGGTTAAAATCGTAATATACATAAAGAGGAACATGGAACACGCGTAGCGAAAGCACTGTGTGATGGAGGAATTACAAGTGTACAGATGAGCAGGTAATAGTGCAGACGTGCGAAACGAATGACTTACTCTATATGGAACGAAACTGTCTCGATCGATATGGGCCTGTGTTTTCTCCTTTTGAATCTTAGCCAACTCCTTTTCGCTAACATTCGGATGTAAATGTGGATCGTCAACATAGAATATGGCCCACAGCGTGAAGACGACAAACCCAAAAGCTGCATGGAGATAAAAGGATGACCGCCATCCAAGCGTCGAATCGCATAGCTAAAATGAACAGATAAATTTAGACGATAATATAATAAAGATAATAACGGTGAACGTCCAGCGTCGACGATCACCGCTCAACCACAAGGCCTTTGTGGACAATTCTGAAGTACTAGGCGGTTCTCCGTCATCTTATTGAAAAGTAATTGCGCATCAGATATGATATACACTGACTGTTTCAAAAAGTTGATCTAAGAAAAAATACAAGTGAACGAAATTGAAGACAAAAAGGCTTGTTCTGTTCCCGGTGCGTAGTTGTAGCGACTACGTCGCGCAGATTGGAGAACTAGACGTGTGTTAGAGTTGAATGTTGTCAAAATGGTACTCGACAAGAACCAAGCGCATGATGGTTTTTTCAACAACACCGTATTATGCACTTGTCTCTCACCGGGCGCGTTCAAAAAGACCTCTGACGTTTTCGACAACTTCAGTCAGCCACGCAAATCCCCGCTGAACTCACGGGTCGGGATTAGGTGGAAAGAGGTACTCCTTCCAAGAGAAAGAGAGATCCCAGAAGCTGCTACTCAAGTGCGCAAGACAAAAGCGCTAATGCCTTGCCTCGTACCAGTCTATTCCCATTCATGTTCCTCATGCACTTCTTGTCTGATTTCCGAACAAAATAACACACTATAACGTGCTTTTAAGTTTTATGCGGGTAGGCTATTAGAAGATCGCCACCAATGAAGAGCAATTACGTCGCGTAGCGCTGGTTGGTTGACAACGTTACATGGTTATTTAGCCCAAATATCGAATGACCGCTGATCCTGCTTCTTAATCGTCAAGCGTCCTTGAATCAGCTCAATCTTATGGCTAACAGAGTATTCTTAGGCCGATGTCAGAGTTTACGAATCCTGCGAACGAGCGTTGTACCAGCGAATCGAGCGATAAACCAGCGCATTGAACCACAAATGTTCTTTTCGCTGAATTCGCTGTTTGACATCGGCCTTAGCAAATAGTCCAAAAACTGGGAAAGGGCGAATAGATCTGACCTTTGACCAAAGCGACGAGTGATAGGTGAAGTATGGTAAGTAGTAGAAAACATTTTGGTTAGTACAAAAAAATTGAGTGTATCCCATATTTTAGAGAGTCCTTTTGAATTAATTGCAATCTAACTAAACCTAGCTTAATGCTAAATACTAAACCTAACTAAATCTAACTTACCCAAGCGGTCAAGGGATCTGTAACGATA